ATCTGAGCGGGATAAAAAAAGTTATTGTATTCATATATAAAAAAAAATTAAATAATATTTTTTTGAATAAGACTTTGTGATTCTCTTTTTATAATCAAATTTTATGAGATTTGCACATATACTATGACTATGTGTGATGATCTTTTTAATTATCTATCCTATCCTTTTACTTTTAAAAAATATTTCTTCTGTGATTACATATGTTGAAATAATAATCAAATTTTGGTTATTATTATTATTTGATAAATTAAAGATTTATTGGAATTTCTCTCTTTAGTAATTAAAAAATCATTAAGTAATTGTCTCGATTAAAGGTATAAAAGTTGAAAGGGAAGTAATTGATTTATTTAAGCATCAATACCTATGCAATTTTTGAAATTGTATCATTAAACAATTCACTTATATCCGTTAGCAAGATCTTGTATTATTTTGTTTATTTGGAATAAGAAGCAATTTAAAATAATGTTTCTTATTTATTCAGAATTAATAGTTGAAGATGGTGAAAGTTCTGTCTCATGTGTTTTTTACTACAATCTTGAATCATGATTTATAATGTTCCCTAAATTTATTTAAGACTTTTATGATTTGATTATTGTTCATTTTATTTAAAGTTTTAGGCTACTATTAAATATTTTAATTGTATAAAAGTTGTTCATATTTATTAATATTATTGATTAATTTGATTTATTAACATAATTTATATTCTTTTTAGAATAGTAAAATGAATCCCTAATTTTATCTATACTAGATTATTTATAATAAAGTAATCGCAAAAAGAGTTATATCAATTAGACCGCCTACAAAAAAGTGTAATAAAAGCTTTCGTTTAAATATATGGTGATACTATTCACCATTGTTTAAAGAAATGATAATAAGGGGATTCCTGGAGTAATGATATTTTTGTAATTGTAGGTTTATCATAATAAGGATAAAGGAGTAAAGGAGAAGGTTAAGGTTAGAGGGTATTAGGATAAGGATTTTTTTTAAGGTTTTTGGTTTTTTTTCATAATTATATTTTAATAAATAAATAATTATTCAGATTTAAATTAGTTTATAAAAGAAGCTAAAATATAAAAACATGTCAAATGTAGCAAGATTATTTATTATTATAGTTACTGAATAATAGACTTGACAAGAGGGAAGATAAGAAGAAGTAGGAATTGAATTTAGAGAAAATAATTTAAGACCAATAAATTTTTTTGTGGAATATACAAAAGATAAATAAAAACATATTGTGGATGTAAATAAATTATATAATAAATCATTGTCACTACAGTTTAGCCTGTGATAATGAGAAACTTAGAATAAGTAAAATATCTTAGATGGGAAGGAGGGGAGGGAACGAAAAAACAGAAATATACAAAATGGAATGATTTTTGGAGAGTAGTTAATTTAAATATTGGAGGAGTTTATAACTAAAACGGTTAAAAATGAGAAAAATGGATATATTTATTTCCAAATTTTTATGAGTAAATTTTTCATTTATTCAAATAAGCCTTTATAAAGTTACTATTTAAGGATTGTATATATAAAATTAAAAATAAGAAGAATTGATTTATTATTTTGAAAATTAACAAATGTTTTTTTTAAAACTTATACATAGATCTAATGGAATTCATTATGAAAATGGATAAAAAAAAAAACGGAACTTGGATTGCACATCCTAGACTATTTTGGAAGGGTAATATGTTTCAGTGAATATTTAAATATTGTACTTATTTGCCTATTGATATTTAGAGGAGGAGGAGGAGATTATGATATTAATGAAAGTAAATATGGCAATGGATAGAAACGAATCAAAATTTCTGGATAAAAATTAATAATTTTATCCTTTACAATTGAAAACTAATTGATTGATGCTAGAGAATATGAAAATGGATCACAAAGTACATGTATTAAATTAACGAAATTTTTACTAAAATGTAATAATTCTTTATTATTTGAAGTTGTGAGGGTATTTATGATGATTTAGAAGTTAAAAATTGAAGATGGGTAGAAATTTTTTAAAACTTTTAAAAGTGTTAAACTTCAAGATATTTTAATTAGTTAATATTAAGATCTAAATTTAGTATTATAAATATTCTATCAATCTGTTTATTCTTTGAAAAATTTTGATATTTTATGGTTTACTAACTTACTTCAATTAAAGGAATTAAACAAAAATATTTATTATAAATATAATTTTTCTATTCTATGACCTTCAGAAATAATTCAAAATTTATTTTTAAATAAAAAATCTAATAAAAATTAAAAGAATATTGCAGAAAACCATAAATGAATATGTAAAGATATTTACAAATAATAAATAAAAATTGATATGTAGTTAATTTAAGACTCTATTAAATAATATCTTTATCTACTAAATACTTTTTATGAATCAAATGTAAAATAAATTAGAAGAGAAATAAATATTCAATAATAGTTAAAGTTATGAAAAGAAGAGATAAGTAACATTAATCAATTTAAGAATTTGCTGAAGATTCATTATAAATTTAATATAACTATTAAGATAACTTTGTGTCATCATAAATTTGTTGATTGAGTCAAAATAAAAAAAATTAATTCAAATAAGCACAAAAGAAAGATTAATCTAAGTCGAATAGTTATATTTGTGCTTTTGTTTTGAATTAAGATTTTTTACTATAATAGTTAAATATAATTTACAAATGTAATTATTTGAGTTTATATTATGATATATGAAGAATAACAATAATAATGTTAAGACCAAATATAATAAAGTTATATGTTGTTAAAAAGATGTCTTTATTTTTTTTAAAGATTGATCAAGTGATAATTTAATAGTAAGTAAGCATTTTAATATATAATTTTAATTAAACATATTGAAAATGGAGAAATTTCAGAACTCATTTTGATAGATAATTGTTCATGGTATCTGATAAGCTGGGATCAGATATCAAAGAAATAAAAATCATAAATATTAAGAATTACGAAACTGTGAGTTGTTGTTTTTAAAAATATTTAATAATTTGAGTGAATACACATTTAGTTTAGTTATAAAATTCAATAATCAAACAAATTTAAAAATTGAAAATATTCATTAAATGAATATTAAATCGCTATTTCAATTGAAAACAAAAAATAACTATAAAAAATAATTAACTAACTTAAAAAGGAGGTTTATGTGAGAATTAATATTTTTGGTAAACAAATAAATGAGAAAGTAATTTCATAAAATTGTCGGATTGTTTGAAAAGAATAAATAATAAATATTTTATATAAACGAGGTGTAATGTCTATCCGATGTTAGAGTCTAATTATCCCAAACCATTAAATAGTTTCCATCCTCGGTAAATTTCCCTAATTTTTGCAAAATCTTCAAGGCAATAGTTTCTTTTTGAAATTTGAATAATCAATTTTTATAGCTCAAAATATTTACAAATTTATTATGCTTTATGATAAATATTTGTTTGGCTTTATTTTAAATATAAGGAAACAAGGATTATATTAAGTCTAAAAATCTTAAGCTGATTTACAAATCTTTTTTTTCAACAAATTTTTCGGCTTTGATTAAAATATATAAATAAATTGAACTCTAATTTTCTTGATACCAAGCAATAGTATCGTGATTAGAAAACAAACTCTAAATCCTTTTTCATTTTTAGATTCTCTAAGACTTGTTTAAATATAAATCTTCGTTCATTGTTTTGTTTTCCTAAACAATAATTTTTTTGTCATCACTGCATGAGACTTATTTTGTTTCATCTTTATTTATTAAAAATCCAAACCTTAATTGATCAATTTCAATGACCAGAAAATATTAAATTTTTAAATTAATTTAATAGCGAACGCTATAGAATTGATCGAAGATCATTAGATTATTAGGATTCTCAATAAAATGAATTAGCCATCTTTTTCCATACAATAATTTTACATTTAATACTTCCCGTAAAAAATCAATTTTATTTTTTA